GCGATGCCGCCGCAGTGCGCGGCAGGTTGAGGTCGGCCACTTCGATGCGGCTGCCGGTGGCCAGCAGCTGGGCGCGCTGGATCACATTGCGCAGTTCGCGCACATTGCCGGGCCACGGATGCCGCTGCAGCGCCGTGGCCGCGGCGCTGGACAGTGGCTTGTCGGAGGCCAGGAAGCGCTCGGCCAACGGCACGATGTCGCCCGGGCGTTCGGCCAGTGGCGGCAGCACCAGTTCCACCGTGTTGAGGCGGTAATAGAGATCTTCGCGGAAGGTGCCGTCGCGGATCATGGCCGGAAGGTCGGCATTGGTCGCACTGACCACGCGCACCTTGACCTGGCGCTCGCGGTTGGAGCCCAGGCGCTCGAAGCGGCCGGTTTCCAGCACGCGCAGCAGCTTCATCTGCCCGCCCAGCGACAGGTTGCCGATCTCGTCGAGGAACAGGGTGCCACCGTCGGCTGCTTCGAATTTTCCTTCGCGTGCCTTGTTGGCGCCGGTGTAGGCACCGGCCTCGGCGCCGAACAGTTCCGCTTCGATCAGTTCCGACGGCAGCGCGCCGCAGTTGACCGTGATGAACGGCCCCTTGGCCACCAGCGAATTGGCCTGGATGATCTGCGCGATCTTCTCCTTGCCTGCGCCGTTGGGGCCGGTGATCAGCACCGGTAGCTCCGAGCGCGCGACCTGGCAGGCCAGGGCGATGACACGCTCGCTGGCCGGGTCGGCGAACACGGCGCCGCACAGGTCGTACTTCTCTTCCAGTGCGTTGCGCTGGCGCAGTTCACGGCTGCGACGCCGGTCCAGTTCGCGACGCGCCTCGGACAACTCCAGCAGGTTGTTGACCGTGGTCAGCAGCTTGCGGTCGTCCCACGGCTTGGCCAGGTAGTCGGCGGCACCGGCCTTGACCAGGTCCACCGCGCTGCTCAGATGGGTCCAGGCCGTGAGCAGGATCACCGGCAGGTCAGGGTGGCGTTCGCGGATCTGCGCGAACAGGGCCTCGCCTTCTTCCCCGGACGTGGTGTCCTCGCTGAAGTTCATGTCCTGGATCACCAGGTCGACCGGCTGCGACTCGAGCAGTGCCAGGCCCTCGGTCGGGCTCTGTGCCTGCAGGGTGTCGATGTCGTGCAGGGAGAACAGCACGTCCAGCGCGGTACCCACGCTGGCGTTGTCGTCGATGATCAGGATCGAAGGCATCAAGCGGTTCTGCAGAAAGGGATGGGCGGCGCCGTTGGAGCCGTTCGTGTCCACACGCCGGGAGAGCCCGGCGCCACCCATCAAGCATAGCCAAACCCGTGGCCGCAGGCGCGGTCCGGGCCTACCGCGGCGGAGGGGGCGGTGGCGGCGGCGCCGGAGCAACCAGTGCCAAGCGCCAGGCAGCCGCATTCACCGGCACGGTCAGTTCGCGCCTGTCGCGGCGCAGCAACAGGTAGGCGGTGGGGGCGGTGGAGTGGCGCAGGGCTTCGGTCAGATGCTCGATCCTGCGCACGGCGGTGTCATCCACGCGCAGGATGCGGTCACCGCTGCGCACGCCGAAGCGGGCTTCGGGGGCTGCGGCTTCCACCCGCACCTGGCCCTCGGTCGAGCGCAGCGCCAGCCGTGCATCCTGCTGGCGCCACTCCAGCGTCTGCGCGCTGCTGCTGCCGGCCAGCGCCGGCAGGGATGGAAGCAGCATCAGCAGCAGCCAGCAGGCGCGCATCTCAGGCGCCCCGGGTGGCAACCGCCGGCGGTACCGCTGCGGCACGCCGGGCCGGCCCGAACACCGCGATCTGGCCCAGTGCCCACAGCAGCAGCGCACCCAGTGGCAGGTAATACAGCGGCATGCGCGGCAGCTCGTACATGTTCATCAGGGCGAGGTTGATGGCGTAGGCCGCCAGCATGCCCAGCACGATGCCCAGTGTGGCCAGCAGGAAGTTCTCGGTCTGGAAGTAGCGCAGGATCTGCCCGCGGGTAGCGCCGAGCGCGCGGCGGATGCCGATCTGCTTGCTGCGCTGCTGCACCCAGAAGCTGGCCAGGCCGATGATGCCCAGCGCGGTGACCACCAGCAGCGAGATGCTGACGGTGATCAGCAGGCCGACCATTGCCCGGTCGTTCTTGAAGAAGTCCTTGCGCTGGTCCTCATAGGTCAGCTTGTCGCGCATCAGCCGGTTGGGGTCGATGCGTTCCAGCGCCGCGGCCGCAGCATCGAGTACTTCCTGGCGCCGTGCCGGATCGGTCCGCAGCACGTACGTGCCGCCTTCATCGAAGGACCGCTGCAGCGGCAGCAGCATCGAATTGGTCCAGTTGTCGTTCCAGCCATTGGGCGTGCTGAGCGTGTCGACGATACCGACCACGTTCAAGGGTTGCTTGCCCATGTAGTAGGTCTTGCCCAGCGCGCTGCCGTTGGGCTCCATCTTCGCGGCGGTGCTCTGGGTGAGGATCACCGGGACGGCCTTCTGCTTGGCACCGCCCTTGGAGGCTTCCTTGAACTCGATGTACTCGCCGGGAAGGAAATCGCGGCCCGCGATGAGGTTGATCCCCATCGTGCCCAGCCCGCCTTCGGACAGGGTGTACATCGACGCATTCGTGGTCGGGCGCTCCTGGTCGACCTCGCGGGAGATGCTGCTGCTGGACGAGCCGTTGCGGAACGGCACCTGGTTGATGATGGTGGCACTGGTGACGCCGGGAATCGCGCGCAGTGCCGCCAGGTCTTCGCGGGTGCGCGCCATGGCATTGGTCTGCTCGCCGATGCCACTGACACGCAGCATCACCAGTTCGTTCTCGGCGATGCCGCTGGGCATGCTGATCTTGTCGACGCGCTGGCTGACCAGGAACAGTGCGTTGCAGACGATGGCGCAGGTCAGTGCGACTTCCAGCACGATCAGGGCGGCAGCGGTCTTGTGCCGGCGCAGGGTGCTGAGGATGGGGCGGATGTCCATGGGAGTCCTCGTTCTCGTGCTTACTGCGACTTGAGCTGGATGGCCGGGGTGACCTGCATCGCGCGCCAGGCCGGCAGGAAACCGGCGGCAAGGCTGGCGAACAGGGTCAGGCCCAGTGCGAGCAGCAGCATGCTGCCGTCCAGATGAGCGAGCTGGGCGTAGTCCACCGGTTGCTGGCGCACCGCGTACAGGCCGAGCAGGGCCAGCCCGATGCCGAGCACGCCGCCGACCACGCCGACCGCGCCGGCTTCGACCAGGCACTGCAGGAAGATCTGCCCACGGCTGGCGCCCAGGGCGCGGCGCACACCGATCTCACCGCTGCGGCGCAGGAACTTGGCCAGCAGCAGGCCCACGGTGTTGACCAGGCAGACGCCGAGGAAGCCCAGTGCCAGCCACAGCTGCAGGCGTACGTCGCTGGGTACTGCGCCGTTGAAGTCCAGCCATTCCATCACGGTGCGCAGGCGCACGTTCGGCGGGTGCTTGAAGCGGCCTGCCTCGCGCTGCTGGGTCGAGTAGTTTTCCAGGTAGCGGCGGTAGTCGGCGGCCTTGGACGGGTCCAGTTCCACCCAGTACTGCAGCCAGGCGCACGGTGCATTGAGCGAGTAGCTGTTGCCGTCGGGGTTCTCGCCGAAGCAGTTCATGTTGCCGTTGTTGCCGAGCTTCAGGTCGAACGAGGTGGAGATCGGCAGCAGCAGATCTTCGTCCTTGCCGTAGCTGCCGGTGGTCAGATCGTAGAAGTGCGGCTCCGGGCTCCACTCCTTCATCACGCCGACCACGCGATAGCTCTGGCCTTCCATGCGCACGTCGCGCCCCACGCTGTTGGCGCCCTGGAACAGCTTGTCGTTGAGCGCCTTGGAGATGACCACCACGCGGGCGCGAGCGTTGTCATCCTCGCGCGTCCAGGGGCGACCGTACTGCATGGGTACCTCGAACATCGGGAAGAAGTCGGCCGAGGTCCAACGGGTGTCGATGCTGAAGGGCTTGAGCGTGCTGTTGTCCGGCTCGATGGTGCCGCCGCCGCCGCTCATCAGCGCCTGGCGCTCACCCTTGGCTTCGCGCAGCAGCGCTTCACCGTCGAAGCGGGTCAACTGGGTTTCCGGCTCCTCGCCGGCGACATAGGCGCCGGTCGCGGCGTCGAGCTGCACGTAGAACAGCCGGTCGCTCTTGCCGGGAATCGGGTCGCCGGACAGCACGTGGAAGACTGTCAGCGTGGTCATCGAGGCGCCGATGCCGAGTGCGATGGCAACCACCATCAGCGCGGTCAGGACCTTGTTGCGGCGGAAGCTGCGCGCCGCCAATCGGGCGTAGTAGGCGAACATGGTTGGGCCCTCACTCGTTGACGGCGACGATGTGGCGCGGCGGGGTGGCCAGCACCGGCTCGCGTACCAGGTCGGTCACCTGGCCGTCGACGATGTGCACGTTGCGCTGCGCGCGCGCGGCCAGTTCCGGATCGTGGGTGACCATCACGATGGTGGTGCCGGCGGCGTTGATTTCCTCCAGCAGCTCCATCACGCCACGGGCCATCTGCGTGTCCAGGTTGCCGGTCGGTTCGTCGGCCAGCAGCAGGCGCGGGCTGCCGGCCAGGGCGCGTGCGATCGCGGCGCGCTGCTGCTGGCCGCCGGACAGTTCATTCGGGTAGTGCTTCATGCGCGAGCCGAGGCCGACCTGGGTCAATGCCTTCTCGATGCGTTCGCGGCGCTCGTTGGCGCTCATCTTTCGGTAACGCAGCGGCACGTCAACGTTGTCGAACAGGTTCAGGTCGGGGATCAGGTTGAAGCCCTGGAAGATGAAGCCGATCTTCTGGTTGCGCAGGCGGCTGCGGGCATCGTCGCCCAGCGTGCTCACGTCCTGCCCGTCCAGCATGTAGGTGCCGCTGGTGAAGGTTTCCAGCAGGCCGGCGATGTTGAGGAAGGTGGTCTTGCCGGAGCCGGACGGGCCGGTGACGGCGACGAACTCGCCTTCCTTGACCTGCAGTTCCAGCGAGCGGAGTGCGTGGGTTTCCACCTGTTCGGTGCGGAAGACCTTGGCGACCGAACGCATTTCGAGCATGTACATGGGGTGTCCTCTCTCCAGGATTCAGGGTTCTGATATCAGTTGACGGAGACGCGTTCGGCGTCCTTGAACAGGTCGCTGCCGGAGACCACGATGCGGTCTCCCGGTTGCACACCCGACTTGATTTCCACTTCGCCCAGGCTGCTGACGCCCAGTTCCACCGGACGGCGCACGGCGGTGCGGCCATCCATCACGTAAGCGATGCCGTTGCCCTGTTCGACGAACGGGCCACGCTCGACCTTCAGCACGTTTCTGCGGGTATCGAGCAGCACGCGCACCGACATCCGCTGGCTCTGACGCAGGCCTTCCGGCTGCGCGCTGGCGAAGCGAACGCGGGCGTTGACCTCGCCGTTGACCACCTCCGGCGACACCGCGCTGATCTCGCCCGGGAACGGCTGGCCGTTGCCGCCGGTCAGCTGTGCGGGCATGCCGATCGCCAGGTCACGGGCGAAGCTCTCCGGAACCTTGATCTCGACTTCGAACTTGGACAGGTCGACCACGCCCAGCACCGGTGCGTTGGCGGCGAGGTTGGTGGACTGGATCGCCTGCACCTGGCCGACCTGGCCATCGAACGGCGCGCGCAGGGTCAGTGCATCGACCTGGCGCTTGGACTTCGGCCACCACGGCCTTCTGGCGATCGGCCAGCAGCCGCTTGTTGCGTGCGTCCAGGTCGGCGCCCTGGCTCTGCAGGCGTGCATCGGTGGTGGCGTTGGCCAGGGTGATGTCGGCCTTCTTCAGCGAGTCCTTGGCCTTGGCCAGGTCGATCTGCGGCACCGCACCGCCGTCGTAGCCGCGCTGGTAGCGCTGCAGGTCGCGGTCGGCAGCCTGCCGTTCGATGGTGGCCTGGTCGGTTTCCTTGCGCGACTTGGCGCGGGCCAGGGTCGCGTCCAGCGCGGCGCGGCTGGCCTCGGCCTCCAGGCCGGCCAGGGTGGCCTGTTCCTGGGCCAGCTTGCTGCGCAGTTCCGGGCTGTCGATGATCGCCAGTTCCTGGCCCTTCTTGACTACGTCGCCGGCGACCACCTTCAGGTCCACGGTACCGGCCGAGATGGCGTACAGGATCGGGCTGTTGGCGGCGATCACCCGGCCGTCGGCCGCGATGTCACGGACCAGGTCGCCCTGCTTCACTTCGGCGATGCGTACGCGGCTGCTGTCGAAGGAGCGGCTGGCGTTGGACCAGGCGTGCACGGCCCAGCCGATGCCGGCCAGCAGCACGAGGGCGCCCGCCGCCGGCCAACGGTAGCGGTGCCAGTTGGCGCGGGTGGCGCTGGCCGGTGCGGAGGAAACGATCTGGTCCTGGGCGGAAGTGTCGCGGATCATCGGATGCGTGCCTTGCGGTGGTAGCCAATACCAAGCACGTAGCGTGCCAACTTTATTCTGTTTCAGATCAACGGTTTGGCGGACTCGTCGCGGTGTCCGGGTGTCCGCGGACACCTTTCCGGACACTTTCATTAAGCGGACAGGAGGGGGAACCCGGGCACGCAGGCTAGAATGCGCCGATCGTCTTCAAGGAATTGCGTGACATGTGTGGAATCGTGGGTGCGATCGCCGATCGCGACGTAGTGCCGGTGCTGATCGAGGGCCTGAAGCGACTTGAATACCGCGGCTACGATTCCTCGGGCATCGCCGTGATCGACCAGGGCGCCCGGCCGGAGGTCCGCCGCGTGCGCCGTACCGGTCGTGTGTCGGAAATGGCTACGGCGGCCGAGGCTGAAGGCTTCAATGCGGTGCTGGGCATCGGCCACACCCGTTGGGCCACCCATGGCGGTGTCACCGAAGCCAACGCGCACCCGCATATCAGCCAGGGCGTGGCGCTGGTGCACAACGGCATCATCGAGAACCACGAAGAGCAGCGCGAAAGGCTGCGCGCGCTGGGCTACACCTTCGAATCCCAGACCGACACCGAAGTCATCGCGCACCTGATCCATCATCATCTCAAGGATGGCGACGACCTGCTGCTGGCGCTGCAGCACACGGTGAAGGAGCTGACCGGTGCCTACGCACTGGCCGTGGTCAGCCGCGCCGAGCCGGAGCGCTTCGTCTGCGCGCGCATGGGCTGCCCGCTGCTGGTCGGCCTGGGCGAGGGCGAGAACTTCGTCGCCTCCGATGTCTCGGCGGTGATCTCGGCCACCCGCAAGGTGATTTTCCTTGAAGAAGGCGACACGGCCGAGATCCGCCGCGACGGTGTGCGCGTCTTCGACGAGCATGACCAGCCGGTCGAGCGCGACGTGCATCTGTCCGATGTGTCGCTGGCCTCGCTGGAACTGGGCCCGTACCGCCACTTCATGCAGAAGGAAATCCACGAGCAGCCGCGTGCGCTGGGCGACACCATCGAGGCGGCAATCGACGCCGGTGGTTTCCCGGCCGAACTGTTCGGCAAGAACGCCGAAGCGGTGCTGTCGGGCATCGAAGGCGTGCAGATCATCGCCTGCGGTACCAGCTATTACGCCGGCCTGACCGCGCGCTACTGGATCGAAGCCATCGCCGGCCTGCCGTGCAGCGTGGAGATCGCCAGCGAATACCGCTACCGCGCCGCCTATGCGAACCCGAAGCACCTGATCGTCACCATCTCCCAGTCCGGCGAAACGCTGGATACGATGGAAGCGCTGAAGTACGCCAAGTCGCTGGGCCACAAGCACACGCTGTCGATCTGCAACGTGCCGGAAAGTGCGATCCCGCGCGCCAGCGAGCTGGTCTGCTACACCCGCGCCGGTGCCGAGATCGGCGTGGCCTCGACCAAGGCCTTCACCACCCAGCTGGCCGCGCTGTTCCAGCTGACCGTGGTGCTGGGCAAGCTGCGTGGCCGCATCGACGCAGCGCAGGAAGCGGACTACCTGGAGCAGCTGCGCTTCCTGCCGGGCAGCGTGCAGCACGCACTGAACATGGAGCCGCAGATCGCGGCATGGGCCGAGCGTTTCGCGCGCAAGAGCAGCGCGTTGTTCCTGTGTTCCTGGGCCGCGGCCTGCACTACCCGATCGCGCTGGAAGGCTCGCTCAAGCTCAAGGAAATCTCCTACATCCACGCCGAAGCCTATCCGGCGGGCGAGCTGAAGCACGGCCCGCTTGCGCTGGTGGACGAGGACATGCCGGTGGTGGTGATCGCCCCCAACGACAGCCTGCTGGAGAAGGTGAAGTCGAACATGCAGGAAGTGCGCGCCCGTGGTGGCGAGCTGTTCGTGTTCGCCGACCAGGACAGCAACTTCAACGAGTCCGAAGGCGTGCACGTGATCCGCACGCCGCGCCACGCCGGCGTGCTCAGCCCGATCGTGCACACCATTCCGGTGCAGCTGCTGGCGTACCACACCGCACTGGCGCGTGGCACCGACGTGGACAAGCCGCGCAACCTGGCCAAGAGCGTGACGGTGGAGTAACGCCGGCTGCTCGGCCTGGATGCGGTACACGAAGGGGGCCCATGTGGCCCCCTTTCGTTTGCGCCGGTAACCGCATCAAGTGGGACAGTCGCCGGTCGTTCTGTCCGCCGCCGGCAGGCCGCAATCAATCTTTAATGCGCAATGCCGCCTGTATTCAGCGGCGGTTTCAGCCGCGGTGCCATTCTCTGGATCGTCGCTTGGTTCCCACGACGAACTGTCCTATCGATGCCGGTAGTGACCGATGGTCGCAGTCGTAGAATCGATCTGACCGAGGCATGGGTTGTGCGGTTGAACCCACCTCGTTCGCGTTGCAGTACGTCGCCTGCCGATGCATCTCCCAGGGCGGGCACGTGCGCCAGACGTGCGCTGAAAGGTCTGTTCCCGGGGAGGGGGCGTATCGGAAGAGCACACTTTTTTGACTTCAGTGACCTGCACCAGGAAACAAGAATGAACGTCCGCGAACTCCTGCAATCCAAGAAAGAAGCTGTCATCACCATCGACGCCGAAGACACCATCGGTGCCGCCGCCCACAAGATGAGCGCGAACAGGATCGCTGCGCTGGTGGTGATGAAGGACGATGCCCCGGTCGGCATCATTTCCGAAAAGGACATCGTGCGTACCCTGGCCGATGACGGCCCGCAGGCCGGCCGCCGGGTGATTTCCAGCGTGCCGACCACCGGCCTGGAAGGCATTGCGCCGGAAGCGACCCTGAAGCAGGCCATGTCGTTGATGACGTACTCGCGGCGCCGTCATCTGATGGTCACCGAGGGCACCCGCCTGGTCGGCATCCTCAGCCTGGGCGACATCGTGAAGAACCTGCTGGGCGAGCTGGAGCTGGAAAAGGCCGTGCTTCAGGACATCTACATGGCCGCTCACTGAAGCGGCATGAGTTGCTGATTGGTTGGGTCGGCCCATCCAGCGTGGGCCGACCTCGATTGTTCTCCCTCTGCAGGATTTCAGGGGCGTGCCAGTCCCAGAGCGGCAGCGTCGATTGATTCTGCTCACTGATTGCCAGATGCTCCTTGAAATGGAGATTCGAGCAGGGGTGGAGAAGTGAACCGGACGGGTGGCGCGCTCGACGCGGATGAAGGGGTGCCGTTGGAGCAGTTACGGGAGCCGATGGGGCGGCAGCTGGAGCTTGTCGCCCATCCCAAGAGCGTTCGCCTTCCTCTGCAGGACATCACGCCTGAGAACTTCGAGAAGCTCGTAGCGCGACTGGCAAACTGCGCGCCCAGTGCCATGTTCAGGGCGCAGCGGATCGGAAAGTCGGGCTCCGCCCAGTCGGGAATTGACGTTCAGTGCAGGGTTTTTGATAGCGATCGCTTTGACTGCTACGAGGCAAAACGGGTCGTCGAGATCCGCCGAGGTACGTTGAAGAAGTGGGTCGGCAGTTTTCTTGAGGGAACGCACGCCGACACGGCTGCCAGTTTCCACCTCTGCACCACTTACGCCGTTTCCGACGAAACGGCCTTGCAGGAAGAGTGGAAGGACTGCGAACGGCTGTTACTGGATCGTCAGATCCATCCTCACCTCTGGGACCGCGCAGTACTCAATGACCTGCTCAGGGAGCAGTGGCAGATCGTTGCTGAGCTTTATGGTGAGGGGGGTAGCGAATGGCTTCTGCGTATCTGCCGCGCCGCCGTTGCCGGTTCCCCAGGAAAGCAGCTTCGCCATTCGCAAAGAGACTCTCTACGGCCCGTCGCTCCAGCTCCAAAACCGCAGCATTGCCTGCTCAGTTCATCTTCCTGAGCGTCTTGACCGGCAACTTTCAGCTGCGCTGTCCTTCTCGCGGGCGGACATTTCAGGGATATCCATAGCGCTGTCTTCCCGGGAGCTGCTGGGCTGGGCCCACTGGAGGGTGCATGCAGATGCGTCAATGGAGCGTCCCTATGCCATCCCGCATGCCAACCGTGCAGGGGCATTTTTGCTGATGGGGCGCCACGCAAGACTTTCATTGAACGAGGCGGAGGTGGCGGACCTTGACTGGATTCTCGAGCGCGCCTGGAAGCACATCCATCAGGCTTGCCTGGCGTACGTTTCCGCGTTTCGCTCTTTCGATTTCGAATTGATTCAACATCATCCTTCGGCGGTTGGGCTGATTTCGGTGAAGCCTTGGCTGTGGGCCCAGATGCTGGCATTCGCACGTATTCATGACACCGCACGGGGGGACGGACCATGGCATGTGTTCGACGCATCACGGTCTCTCCTGAAGATCTACACCTGCCGTGACGGAGAGCGCTTCGACCAGGGCTACCACGCAATCATGTACGCGTATTCCGAAGGTGTTATGTGGTCAGACACGCGCAGCAACATCACCATCGGTTGGAGCCCGACGGATCCGCGGACGGCGTGTTCCGTACGAAGGCAATGGGATGCTCGCTTCACTCACGATTGGCTTTTGCAGGAGCTGATCCCGGAAGTGATCCGCTGGGTGGGTTCGGAGGAAAAACGCGGTGCTGCGGCGGCATGGTGGCGCATGCCATCCCGCTCCGCGCAGACGTTGCCACCGCAGGTCTCTGATCTGGCACATTCACTGGCCCGGGAGGGGAAGATGGACGCATGGACCGACGCGGCAAGTGACACGCTGCAGGCTCATGTTGGCGTACTGCAGTCGCACTTCACTTGCCAGGCATCAAAGGCGCCGCTCGGGTTGGAGTGCATGCGCAACGTGTTGGATTGTATTGACTGTGCCCTGCCTTTCTCCCGTCTTCCTACCGAGGGCTACTTGCGCGGGAGTCTGGGGCTCAATGACGCAGGGGATCTGGCCAAGGCAATCCGGAACAAGGCCAGTACTCTTGAAGCAGGTGTCGATTGTTCCGCAATGGATTTTGCCCTGCGTGGTTTGTTGGAAGTGCTTTGCTATGCGCCGAGCCTTCCCATGAGCAATCGGAATCACATTGAACAACTGCTGCAGCCGCTATGGGACCGACGCAACGAGGACGTACTTTGCGAACTTTTCAGTCGGTAGCCCTGGCTGAGGCATCCGTCTGATCACTGGCAGCCTCGTTGCGCGATCTGCCTTCTAGAACGTGACCCTTACCGAGTCGGCGCTGTAGCTCGCCGGGCCGTGGTAGACCACTTCGATGTTGTTGCCGTCCGGGTCGAGCACGAAGGCGCCGTAGTAGCCCGGGTGGTAGGGGCGTTCGCCCGGCGCGCCGTTGTCGGTGCCGCCTGCGGCCAGGGCAGCGGTGTGGAAGGCATCGACCGTGGCCGCATCACGCGCCTGGAACGCCAGATGATGGCGTCCGGTCAACTGGCCGGCAGCGGCTTCGCTGCTGGCGGTGGAAATGAACAGCTCGTCGGCCCAGAAATAGTCCGGGCCTTCACCGGCAATGGGAATGCCGATGCTGTCGAACACCGCCTGGTAGAAGCGGCGGCTGGCGGCCAGGTCACGCACCACCAGCTGCAGATGGTCGATCAGTCGCCCGCGGTGCAGTTCCATCGTTTCCATACCAACCTCACAAAAAAGGGGACGGAGGGAATTAAGTCGCTTCCGGCCAATAGTGCCAGAAACGGCTTAATCCCCTCCGTCCCCTTTCTGGTCAGTTGGCGATGATCTCGACCCAGTAGCCGTCCGGGTCCTTGATGAAGGCCAGGTTCTTCATGCGGCCGTCGGTCAGGCGCTTCTGGAAGGTCACGCCGAGGTCCTCGAAGCGCTGGCAGGCGGCTTCGATGTCCGGCACCGACACGCAGATAGTACTCTGCGTTGATACCACTGCTTTGCCATCGTGGTAGACCGCGCCGTCCTGGGCCTCGGTGCCATGGTTGTGGGTCAGTTCCAGCACGCCCGGCAGGCCGGCCATCCACAGGCGGCGCTGGGCGTCGTCTTCCGGTACCGCGGCGCCAGCCGGCACGTAGGCCAGGAAGTACAGGCTGAACTGGGCCTCCGGGAAGTCGCGCTTGTCGATCAGCTGGTAACCGAGCACGCGGGTGTAGAAGTCCAGCGAGGCGGTGATGTCCTTCACTCGCAGCATGGTGTGGTTGAACACGAAGCCGCGGGTCTCGGCCGGGGCCTGGGCGGCGACGCCGGGGACATCGCGCAGGGCGGGAATGGTCATGGGGGGAGATCCTTCAGACAGGGCCGTTGCCGGCCGGATGTCCCCATTCTAGCGAGCAGCACCTGACCGCACCGCGACGTACAATGGTCGGATCGCACCGTTCCGTCCCGATACCGATGGCCCGCCATGTCGCAGCGTGAATGGGTGGCTGCTGCCATCCGCAAGATCGAAGCTGATTTCAACCGTTCCGCCGATACCCACCTGATTCCTCTGGCGCTGCCTGGGTTCGAGGGCATCGAGCTGTACCTGAAGGATGAATCGAGCCATCCCACCGGAAGCCTGAAGCACCGGTTGGCGCGCTCGCTGTTCCTGTATGCGCTGGCCAATGGCTGGCTGCGCGAGGGCCGGCCGGTGATCGAGGCCTCCAGCGGCTCGACCGCGGTGTCCGAAGCCTATTTCGCGCGCCTGCTCGGGCTGCCGTTCATCGCGGTGATCCCGGCCACCACCTCGCCGGAGAAGATTGCGGCGATCGAATTCCATGGTGGCCGCTGCCACCTGGTCGAGCGCGCCTGCGACCTCAACTGCGATTCGGAAAAACTGGCCCGCGAAACCGGCGGCCACTTCATGGATCAGTTCACCTACGCCGAGCGCGCCACCGACTGGCGTGCCAACAACAACATCGCCGAATCCATCTTCAAGCAGATGGCCGAGGAACCCAGCCCGATCCCGGAATGGATCGTGTGCAGCCCCGGTACCGGTGCTACCGCCGCGACGCTGGGCCGCTATGTCAGCTATCGCCGGCACGACACCCGCATCCTGTGCGCGGACCCGGAAGTCTCGGTGTTCTTCGATGGCTACAAGGCTGCCGTGGCCGGTGAGCCGGACTGGCGAGGCCTGACCTGCAGCGGTGGTTCGCGCGTGGAAGGCATTGGCCGGCCGCGGGTGGAGCCGAGCTTCATCCCGACCAGTGTCGATGCGATGGTGAAGGTGCCCGACGCGCTGAGCCTGGCCGCGATGCGCCATGTCAGCCGCCAGCTCGGCCGCCGCGTCGGTGGTTCCACCGGCACCAACTTCATCGGCGTACTGCAGGCCGCGCAGTGGATGCGCGAGGCCGGTCACCACGGCAGCATCGTCAGCATCCTGTGCGACAGCGGCGAGCGTTACGCGCAAAGCTATTACGACCCGGCGTGGTACGTGCGGCAGGGCATTGATGTCGAGCGCGCCGATGCGCTGCTGGCGGCAGCGGTGGCCGGGCAGGGCTTGCCGGAACTGCCGTGGAGCAGTCTGGAAGCGCTGTAGCGGCCGTGTAGAGTCGAGCCATGCTCGACTCCGGTAAAGAGCCGTCGAGCATGGCTCGACGCTACATATTCAGTACCCCGCCGCGGTGAACGCATCCAGCACCGCATCACGCAAGGCATCGGGCAGCGCCTCGATGTCCATCGCGCGATCATCCAGGTGCAGGCTGGGGTCCAGCGTGCTGGCGCGGCCCTGGGCCAGGGCCTGCAGCCACAGCAGCACGCAGATCACGAACTCGCGTTCATGGCCCAGCTGCAGCTGGCTGGCGCCGCGCTCGATCACCTCGAACGGGTACCACTCCTGGGCGTCATTGAACGTGCCGCCCTGCTGCAGCACCGCCTGCAGCTGCTGCAGGTGGCGCGGGGCGTCGTCCCCGGCATCGCACAGCGCGGCGATCCAGGTCAGTTCGGCCGGGCTGGCAGACAACGCCAGTGACCGCGCCGCTGGGGCGGATGCAACTGCAGCCAGACCTTCCATGTAGGGCCTCGTTCGGTACGTACCGCTGCGGACTCCCCCGCAGCCAAAGCTTCGAACCGCGACCGTAAGGCCGACGTGAATGCCAGGCGTCACCCCCTTGTCAGCCACGTCCGCCAGCGCCATATGTACCAGGCTGCCCGACTGCCGGGCCCGTACCCTGGAGATCTGCCGTGACCGCTGCCAACCCCCTGCTCGATTTTTCCGGCCTGCCGCGCTTCGAGGCGATCCGCCCCGAGCACGTGGCGCCGGCGCTGGATGTGCTGCTGGCCGAGGCCGAAGCGGCCGTCAGCGCCGCGGAGCAGGTGCAGCCGGTGCGCTGGGAGAGCTTCGTCGCCCCGCTGGATGACGCCACCGAGCGTCTGTGGCGCGCCTGGGGCCTGGTCGGCCACCTGCAGGGCGTGGTCAACACCCCGGAACTGCGCGAGGCCTACAACAGCAACCTGCCGCGGGTGACCCGCTTCGCCAGCGCGCTGGGCCAGAACCTGGCGCTGTACCGCCAGTACCAGGCGCTGGCCGCCAGCCCGGAGGCCGCAGGTTTCGACGAGGCCCAGCGCAAGGTGCTGGACAACACCCTGCGTGATTTCCGCCTGGGTGGTGCCGAGCTGGCGCCCGAGGCGCAGCAGCGCTTCGCAGAGATCAAGGAGGAACTGTCGGCACTGTCGGCGAAGTTCTCGCAGAACGTGCTGGACGCCACCGATGCGTGGTCGCTGATCATCGAGGATGAAGCGCGCCTGGCCGGCCTGCCGGAGGACGTGAAGGCCGCCGCGCACGCTGCGGCGGAAAAGGACGGAAAGCAGGGCTGGAAGCTGACCCTGCAGATGCCGTGCTACCTGCCGGTGCAGACCTGGGCCGAAGACCGTGACCTGCGCGAGATCCTGTACCGTGCCAGTGCGCAGCGTGCGTCCGAATTCGGCGACGACGCGCTGGACAACAGCGGCAACATTGACCGCATCCTGGCCCTGCGTGCGCAGCTGGCCGCGCTGCTCGGCTTCGCTTCCTACGGCGATTATTCGGTAGCGACCAAGATGGCGCAGGACCCGGCCGAGGTGCTGGGTTTCCTGCGTGACCTGGCCACGCGTGCCAAGCCGTTCGCGGCCAAGGATCGCGCCGAGCTGGAGCAGTTCGCGCGTGAACAGCTGGGCATCGACAGCCTGCAGGCCTGGGACCTGGCGTTCGCCGCCGACCGCCTGAAGCAGGCGCGCTACAGCTATTCCGAGCAGGACGTGAAGCAGTACTTCACCGAACCGAAGGTACTGGGCGGCCTGTTCTCGGTGATCGAGCAGCTGTACGGCCTGCGCGCGCAGGAAGACGGCGCGCCGGTCTGGCATGAGGATGTTCGCTTCTTCCGCCTGGTCGATGCGCAGGGCGCGCTGGTCGGCCAGTTCTACCTGGACCTGTATGCGCGCGAAGGCAAGCGCGGTGGCGCGTGGATGGATGATTGCCGCAACCGTCGCGTGCGTGCCGACGGCAGCGTGCAGACGCCGCTGGTCTACCTGGTGTGCAACTTTGGTCGCGGTGCCAATGGCAAGCCGGCTACCTTCAGCCACAACGAAGTGACCACGCTGTTCCATGAAATGGGCCATGGCCTGCACCAGCTGTTGACCCGCATCGGTGAACTGGGCGTGGCCGGCATCAATGGCGTGGAGTGGGATGCGGTGGAACTGCCGAGCCAGTTCATGGAGAACTTCTGCTGGGAATGGGACCACCTGCAGGGCATGACCGCGCACGTCGATAGCGGCGAGCCGCTGCCGCGCGCGCTGTACGAGCGCATGCTGGCCGCGCGCAATTTCCACAGCGGCATGGCCACCGTGCGCCAGCTGGAATTCGGCTTGTTCGACATGCTGCTGCACAGCCAGTTCGAACCGGCGCAGGACAGCGTGCTGGCTCTGCTGGACCGCGTACGCGCGGACGTGGCGGTGAACCATCCGCCGGTCTGGAACCGCTTCCCGCACCAGTTCAGCCACATTTTCGCCGGTGGCTACGCGGCGGGTTACTACAGCTACAAGTGGGCCGAGGTGCTCAGCGCCGATGCCTACGCCGCGTTCGAGGAAGCACCGCAGGCACTGGCTGAAACCGGTGCGCGCTTCCGCGATGAAATCCTGTCGCGCGGCGGCAGCCGTCCGGCTGCGGAGAACTTCAAGGCCTTCCGTGGCCGCGCGCCGCAGATCGACGCGCTGCTGCGCCATTCGGGCATGGCGTAAACCGTTGTGGTGGGTGCCAACCTTGGTTGGCACGTTACCGCTATCCACGCATGGCGTGGATCTACCGGAATGCCGGCCAGCGGCCGGCACTACCGGAGGCCGGTCATTCGGCGTAGATCATCTTCCGGCTCATGCCGCCGTCGACGATGAAGTCCTGGCCGGTGGTGAAGCCGGACAGCGACGACAGCAGGTACACCGCCAGCGCGCCGATGTCCTCGGGGCGGCCAACACGGCCGACCGGGTGCTGGGCGTGATCGGTGGCCGAGTAGTCGGGTTGGTGGCGCCGCGAGGGCGCCTGCCAGGCCGAGGTGCCGATCCAGCCGGGGCTGATGCTGTTGACCCGCACCGCCGGGCCGCTGCTGATCGCCAGCGCGTGGGTGAAGGCGACCAGCCCGCCCTTGGCCGCCGCATAGGCCTCGCTGTGCGCTTCGGACTGCCAGGCGCGGGTCGAGGCGATGTTGATGATCGCGCCCTCAGTGCGGGCCGAGAGTGCCGGCAGCGCGTGCTTGCTGCACAGGAAGGCACCGTGCAGTGACGACAGGCGGCGCTGCCATTCCTCCCACGCCATGTCCTGCAGCAATGTGCCATGCGGGCCGGCCATGCCGGCGTTGTTGACCAGTCCGTCGATACGGCCGAACCGCTGCAGGGCCACGGCGACGAAGTCGCGCACGCTGGCTTCGTCGGTGATGTCCAGGCGCTGGAACGCGGCATCGTCACCGCGCTGCCATTCCGCCAGACACGCCTCGCCGGCCTCCACGTCCAGGTCGCCGATCAGCACGCGTCCGCCGGCGCCGAGCACGGCCTGGGCGACGCCACGGCCGATGCCGTTGGCGCCGCCGGTGACCAGCACCACCTTGCCCGACAGCGGCGCGGCCGGCCATGCGGCAATCGGCGGCACCGTACTCACGTCAGGTCTTCGCCGCGCAGGCGGCGATGCCAGCCGTCCACGCCGATGCGGTCCAGGGTCTGGATGTTGCGCTCGACGATCACGTCCGGGTCCGGATAGACATCCACCGCGCGCGCCACGCTGTCTTCGCGCAGCAGGTGCAGGGTGGGGAAGGGCGCCCGGTTGGTGTAGTTGCTGGCGTCGTCCGCGGCCACGCCGTCGAACTGATAGTCCGGGTGGAAGCTGGCCACCTGCAGGATGCCCTGCAGGTCCAGCGCCTCGATCGCGGCGTCGGCGTTGTCGAGGAAGTCGTTGTAGTCGAGGAAATCGGTCAGCACCTGCGGGTGCACGATCAGCGTGGTGTCGATCTGCTCGGCCGGGGTATCGCGCAGCAGCACCAGCTCTTCGGCCAGTTGTTCGACCAGCGCCTCGGGCGTGGTCGCATCGCTCAGCACGATGCGGACCTGGTCCTTCACGTACACCGCCTTGGCGAACGGACACAGGTTCAGGCCGATCACGATGCGCTCCAGCCACAGGCGGGTGGCGGCGATCGGATCATCGGTGGGCATGTGGGAATGGGTCATGGCGGGCACGTCGGCTGGCGGGGCGGCCATTGTAGGCGCGTCGCCGGCAACGCGCCGTCGTACCTGCCGGTGGCAGCGCCGGGTCACGCCCGGCGCAGGCCTCAGTCGCGGAAGTTGTTGAACTGCAGCGGCAGCTCGAACTTGCCGGCCTTGAGCACGGCAATGGCGTCCTGCAGGTCGTCGCGCTTCTTGCCCTGCACGCGCAGCTTGTCGCCGTTGATCTGGCTTTCCACCTTCAGCTTGGCGTCCTTCAGTGCAGCGGCGATCTTCTTGGCGATCTTCTGCTCGATGCCCTGCTTGACGGTGATCTTCTGTCGGGCCTGGGCCAGGTTGGTCTCGATGTCGCCGAATTCCAGGCTGAGCACGTCGATGCCGCGCGCGGCCAGGCGGGCGCGCAGGATGTCGTTCATCTGCTTGAGCTGGAACTCGGTCGGCGCGGTCTGGTTGATGACATCGCCATCGCGTTCGAACTTCGCGTCCACGCCCTTGAAGTCGAAGCGGGTGGCCAGCTCGCGGTTGGCCTGGTCGATGGCGTTGGTCAGTTCGTGGGTGTCGACTTCGGACACGACGTCGAAGGAAGGCATGGGCGCAGCTCCGCAGGATTCAGTGAGGGCCATTCTATCGTGCCGGCCTGCCAGCTTTTTGTAGAGTCGAGCTTGCTCGACTGTTTTGTGAAGAGCAGTCGAGCAAGCTCGACTCTACAGAACGGCGCCAGTCGAGCAAGCTCGACTCTACAGAAGGGCGGCAGTCGGGCATGGCTCGGCTCTACAATCCGGCGCGGTCGGCGATAATGGGCCATGAACGTGCAACGCTCCCCCTCGCGCGCGGTGGCCTGGATGGTCGCGGCAGTCGCCTGTTTCTCGCTGATGGACGCTGGCATGAAGCAGCTGTCGGCCAGCTATCCAACCCTGGAAGTGACCTTTCTGCGCGGCGCGGCCTCATTGCCATTCGTGCTGGTCTGGGTGCTGGTCAGCGCCGGCCCGCGATCGCTGGTACCGCGACGCTGGGGCCTGCACCTGCTGCGTGGCGCACTGGGCATGGCGATGATCGGCTGCTTCGTGTTCGCCCTGCGCGACCTGCCGCTGTCCACCGCCTACACCATCTATTTTGTCGCCCCGCTGCTGATCGCCGCACTGTCGGTGCCGCTGCTGGGCGAACGGGTCGGGCCGCGGCGCTGGGTCGCCATCGGCATCGGCCTGGTCGGCGTGCTGGTGGTGCTGCGGCCGGGCGTGGACGGCTTCATTTCGGTGCCGGGGTTGATGGTGCTGGCCGCGGCCACCGCCTACGCCGTGGCCGCGATCACGGTCAGCCTGCTGACCCGCACCGATACCTCGCAGTCGATGGTGGTGTGGTTCCTGGTGATCATGGCCGTTGGCGCCGGCCTGCTGGCCCTGCCCGGCTGGGTGCCGCTGCAATTGGCGCACGCGCCGCTGATCGCCGGCATGGGCCTGGCCGGGGCGTTGGGCCAGATCGCCCTGACCAAGGCCTTCCAGCTGGGCGAAGCCTCGATGATCGCGCCGCTGGAGTACAGCGGCCTGGTCTGGGTGATCGGCTGGGATCTGGCCTTCTGGGGCCAGCTGCCGGACGGCTACACCTGGGTGGGCGCGGCGATTATTGTCGCTTCCGGCCTGTACCTGCTGCACCGTGAGCGGGTGAACCGGCAGGAGCCGCCAAAGCCGCTGGACCACCCGTAAGGCGGTTGCCGGCCAGCGGGCGGCACGACCGGGCTGGGCGGCTTAGAACCAAAAGGAATAACATTCCGGCTTATGGCGCGGGCGCGTGAGCGCCGGCGCTGGTAGGCTGCACGCCCCCTTCCGTCACCCAGCCGGTGAGCCACGCCCGTGATCGAGTTCCAGCGCCTGCACAAATCCTATGCCGTTGCCGGCCGCGAAGTCAGCGCGCTGCAACCGCTGGACCTGACCATCGAGGCCGGTGAGGTCTTCGGCATCATCGGCCATTCCGGCGCGGGCAAGTCGACCCTGATCCGCATGATCAACCGCCTGGAAGAACCCAGTGGCGGCCGGTTGCTGATCGGTGGCGAGGATGTCACCGCACTGGACGCCGATGGCCTGCGCGCGCTGCGGCGGCGCATCGGCATGATCTTCCAGCACTTCAACCTGTTGTCGTCGCGCACGGTGGCCGGCAATGTCGCCTTCCCGCTGGAGCTGGCCGGCACGCCGAAGGCGGAGATCGACGCGCGCGTGGCCGAGCTGTTGCAGACCGTGGGCCTGGAGGCGCATGCGCAGAAGTACCCGGCGCAGCTGTCCGGTGGCCAGAAGCAGCGCGTCGGCATCGCCCGCGCGCTGGCGACGCGCCCGCAGATCCTGCTGTGCGACGAAGCCACCAGCGCGCTCGACCCGCAGACCACCGCCTCGGTGCTGTCGCTGCTGTCGAAGATCAACCGCGAGCTGGGCCTGACCATCGTGCTGATCACCCACGAGATGGACGTGATCCGTCGCGTCTGCGATCGCGTCGCCGTGCTCGATGCCGGGCAGATGGTCGAGACCGGACCGGTCACCCGGGTGTTCCTGCACCCGCAGCACCCGACCACGCGCCGATTCGTCAGTGAATCGGAGCATGTCGACGAAGGCGCGCTGCACCGTGATTTCGACGCCGTTGGTGGCCGCATCGTGCGCTTGACCTTCCTCGGCGGCGACACCTACGAGCCCTTGCTGGGCAGCGTCGCGCGCGAGACCGGTGTCGATTACAACATCCTGTCCGGCCGCATCGACCGGATCAAGGACACTCCGTATGGCCAGCTGGTGGTCGCCCTGGTGGGCGGTGACCAGTCCGCCGCGCAGGCCGCGTTCGTGGCCGCCGGCGTGCACGTTGAGGAACTGCGTCGATGATCATCGCCACTGCCGGCGGCTTCTTCCGCCACCTGGATGCGGGCAAGTGGGCCGATATCGGCCAGGCCACCCTCGACACCCTGCTGATGCTGCTCGGTTCGCTGCCACTGACCCTGGCCATAGGCCTGCCGCTGGGCGTGCTGCTGTACCTGTTCGGGGCGCCGCAGATGAAGCGCCGGCCGCTGGCCTATGGCGTGCTGGCGCTGGTGGTGAACCTGCTGCGCTCGGTGCCTTTCATCATCCTGATGATCGTGCTGATCCCGGTCACCCTGTTCCTGATGGGCACCTCGCTGGGCGTGCGCGGCGCGATCGTGCCGCTGGTCATTGGTGCTGCGCCGTTCTATGCGCGCCTGGTCGAGACCGCGCTGCGCGAGGTTGACCGCGGTGTGATCGAAGCGACCCAGGCGATGGGCGCCACCACCTGGCAGCTGGTCACCCGCGTGCTGCTGCCGGAAGCGCGTCCCGGCCTGATCGCCGGTGCCACGGTCACCACCGTGGCCCTGATCGGCTTCACCGCCATGGGCGGTGCGATCGGTTCCGGTGGCCTGGGCGACCTGGCCTTCCGCGACGGCTACCAGCGGTCGCACACCGACGTGGCCCTGGTCACCGTGGTCCTGCTGCTGGTGCTGGTGCAGCTGCTGCAGATGCTGGGCGACCGTCTGGTCGCGCATTACAGCCGCAAGTAACGGGGTGCCGGGCGACGCCCGGCATCGCTCGGGTAGTGCCGGCCGCTGGCCGGCAACCTGCAGAACGTCGATATTGGGCTTGTCATAGCGCGGGACTCTGGAAGCCGCCACGCCCATCAGGAATCGATATCGCCAGACTGGGACTGGCAGCACAGCGCCTTCCTTGGTATGTTCCGTTCAACGTAATACGTTGAACGGAATGATCCGTTCATTCCGCTGCAAGCAGACCCGCGCCCTGTTTGAAGGAACCTGCCCCCGTGCCTGGCGTCCAATCCGGCGCGTGGCAGAACGCAAATTGCAACTGCTCGATTCGGCACAGACGTTGGCCTTCCTTCGCAGCCCGCCCGGGAACCGCCTGGAGGCGCTGTCAGGCGATCGGAGAGGGCAATACAGCCTTCGTATCAACGATCAGTGGCGGCTCTGCTTTACCTGGACCGACAGCGGCGCCGACGCCGTGGAAATTGTTGACTATCACTGAGGTGCCCGCCATGAAGCGTCCCCACAACGGCATGCGCGCCATCCATCCTGGCGAGATCCTGCGCGAAGAGTTCCTGCTGCCCCTGGCGCTGAGCGTGAATGCGCTGGCGAAGGCCTTGGATGTGCCCGCAACGCGACTGCACGCCATCGTGCACGGCCAACGCAGCATTTCGGCGGATACAGCGGCGCGGCTGGCGCGGCATTTCGGTGGGGATGCCGCGTCCTGGCTCGCGATGCAGGCGGCCTACGATCTGAAGACCTTGCCAACACGCAGCGAAATCGAACGCCGGGTGCAGCCACGCGCGGCGTGAAGCCGGTCGCACGGACCCGGCTCCGCAGCCACGATCCGATCAGCGCACGTTCGGTACTTCGTAGCCCAGCTTGCCGACCTGGTCGGGATGCTGCGGCACGCGCTTGAGCTTGTCGGTATTCACGCCGTACTCGTCGCGCAGGCGCTCGGCCAGCTCCTTGTACAGGGCCTTGTCCATGTCCGGCTTGCGCGCGAAGATCCAGGCCATCTCGCGGCCCGGGTAACCGATCAGCGCCCAGGAATAGTCCGGGGCCACTTCCAGCACGCGCGAATGGGTCGGCACGACACGGTAGAACCAGGTACGCCAGCCGTGGTTGCCGCTGTCCGGATCGACACTGGCGCGTGCGCGTACCTCCTGCACCGGTTCACCGAAGCCGTCGCGGTAGCGGTAGGTGATGCCGACCTTGTGCGTGTCGCGAAGCTCGTATTCGTTGACGCTGGCGACATGCCCGCGTTCGATGAAGTTCGGCACGCGGCCGATCACGTACCAGGTCCCCATGAAGCGCTTCAGGTCGATCGGCGCGTCCAGAGCGGCCGCGTCGGTGGCGCGGGACGATGGCGGCTCACTGGCGGCCACGGCGGGGCCCGCCAGCGACAGGGCCAGCAGCACGGCGCAGAACGGGCGGATCGAAGTCATGCGGGAGCGGGCTCCAGTGGGCTTGCACGCGCATGGTCGACTGTGTGCACGCGATCCGTCAATGGTGTCGC